ATAATACTCTCTAGAGTTTCTTAAAAAGAGGGCTTTCACGAACGGTTATCGAATTATATTAACCAGGCACATTTATATTTAATAACGAGCCTGTCCAATTCATAATAGAAAATTGAATAACGCAATTGTTTATGAATGTAAATTATCAAAATGTACATTGGAGGTTATGTTATTGATCGAGAGCGAAATATCCACGATATAAGCGTACGACAAATTAGTTGGATCTTACTGGATAATTGCTAATGGCAAGATCGATCGCGCGTTCCACTCGCCAGGCTAGTTTTAAACCAAATATTGTCCAGGATAGGCTAGATGGACTTGAAAAAATGCGTGTAATGCAAGAAAAAGGTTAGGTGAATAAGGGATATGGTGGAGTACGTTGTGAAGCGCAGATACGGGCTAATAGAATTCCTCGGCAATTGGATAAATCGGAGAATCGAGAGGAAATATGGAAGCCAAACATTTTCGCGCGAGCTCTCGGGGACTTTTGAGCCAATCCGAGCCGAGTGCAAGCGAAGCTCGATTCCCCGGTCATTCCCTCGATGGAAATGCCACTTCACTTGAGTGCGATTCCGACGGTTCGGCAAAAAAAAACAAGAAAACCAGTATTGCGCGAGTCCCCAGGAGCGTACACCCTAATTCCACTTGGCTGTGCAAAATGTCGGCCGAGCCCAAGCCAGCGTATTTTACAAGACGGCTTCATGAAATTTTTTGTTCGACGCCGTTCCAGCGATAAATCGGCCGAGTGCCGTCGATCGATTTCCCGACACTTCCATTCAATCACTGAGGCCGAGTCCAACGTCCCGCCCTCGTTGCCTTCCGCTCCTTTTCTTTCTTCTTATTTTACATGGATTTTAATTCGATTCTACGCCAATAGGAGGCTACTCATAAGCTGCGTCTGCCTTCTCATGGAAGCGAGCGACCGGGAAAATTCGGTGATTTCATCTATTATTGCTCCTTTATCCCTTTCATTATTCGTTATTTGCTTTAGAAATTCGCTATAGGTAGTGGCCTACCGACCCAATCCCCTTACACCGATCTACCCGACATGCTATGCTCTAACTCTTTTCTTACATCCTCACAACTCCTTCACATCGATACTACAGAGCCTTGAATAGCTTGAATTTTTTAATCTTCAATGGCAATTGTTCTCTCCGTTGGCAAATTTGTACGTTCCAATGTAAATGACAATGTATGGGAGCTTTTAACGTCCTATCTATATCTATTCACAAACATTAATAAAGACAAGCTACTTTTATATATTACACGCGGCAACTTTCGTCAATTGCACAATACGCGATGAATTCCGTAGAATATCCAATTATTGCCATTCAATGATTATGACGTATTATCGTGGCTTTTATCAATATCTAATATCTAATATCAATGACGGATTTTTCTATTTTTCCTATTTTTAATCGTCATTCAATATATATTGTTATCAATATATAATTCTATATTGTAAGGAATCGTTAAATTAAAATAAAGCAAGATTGACACCGGCAGTAATGGAATATTTAACCGAATGTCTGCGACTCCAATAATATCCAAATTCATGCATTTAATAATAAATTATGCGAAGACGTAATTTGTACGCGAGATGTAATTTTCAATTCGTAAAATGTACATAAAAAGTTACAACGACTGCATTCTCACACTCATATAATTAGATAAAGTAACCCGGCTTAAATTCTGCTTTTAAATACAAGTTAAAAATTATGCAATCAATTGTAACTTTGAAAGCCAATTTTAAATGTACTTCGTTCATAGAGTTCTTCTCTTATTATATTTTATTCATAAAATATACGGTAATTGCATTCATCCGCAAGAATGACAGAAAAGAAACAAATCCTCGACGGGACGATAGTCGCTCACTTGTTAAGTAGAACTTTTCACTACTTATAAATATTACGGCAATCAGACCTGCTGGAGTTATATACAGTCTTTATATCTCTTTTACCTCCAAGTAATAGTTCCTTCTCTCCTTTCGTTCATTCATCCCCCCCCCCCCCCCCCCCACCCCACACACCCTTTGCGCGACCGACTGAAATAAGGCTTCGACATTATCGGCAAAACGCCGAAGAGGGGACGAATTTTCATAGTCCTTCCTTTTCATCGTCATCCACCTCATTTTTCCTTACCCATTTCTCTATTGAAAAACTTTTCTCGATTCTCTATCTTATCCCCTTTTCCTCCATTTCCAACCCCCTCCCTCTCCGACGGCCTGTCGCCATGCCCTTTTCCCTCAATCTTTAATTACCTCTATTTTCGAAGTTGTTCAGTGGTTTAACGAGCGATAAAACGATATTGATAAATAGACAGACAGACAGAGAGTGAAAGAGTGAGAGAGAGAGAGAGAGAGAGAGAGAGAGAGAGAGAGAGAGTGTGTGTGTGCGCGTGAGAGTATGAGTATTGGAGGTGAAGAAGGAGCGCGGGGAGACAATAAACGGAGGATCGAGGAGATAGAGAGATTCGCTATGTAGTAGTTGCCAGGTAATTA